AACAATGAATACATTTCAGGCTAATGTGCTGCCAAGCTCCAGCTCTCTTTCTAGCAGCTGAATTCTTGGATAAAATCATTTTGCAGGGTATGAGCAATACAGTTCTGAAAATAGCATCACTGCAAAATGAAAGATGGCAAGAACCTCTACAATGCTGATTTATTTCAATGAAATTTCATCTTTTATGATTAGTATCTATTTTGATGTTTTCAGCTGAATTTTCATACTTAATAAAATGTAAATCTATATAACTTGTTAATTCTGAGGCTCCAGCATAAATACCTAGGAGGGAAACAAACAAAGAAATTGCCCATTCACAATTTACATCATAAAATATGTAAAACAGTTAAATGCTTTGTGGACCCAAATAATTTGCATTTATCATCCCCACATTTACAGGGGCATTAAAAAATTTAAAACAAAAATAAAACCTACCACACAATCAAAAGAAACCCACCGAAACACCAAAATAAACACCACCAATCAACAAGCTGTTTCATACTTATTCTAAGTATGTTTCCACTAGACGAACGGATTAGAACAACACTAAAATATCAGTGGGTTTGAGCATCTTGCATAATGTTCAGCATTTAGACATGTGCTGCTGAGAAAACACTAAGAGGTGATATTGCACTTCCCGGATTCTAAGTAGATTACATCTTTTGGCTCTCTTTCCAATTCACTGATATGAAGGTACACTTCAGTACTTTATTTTTTCCTAATAGTGAACATTTTTAAATAGATTGAGAAAAAAAACAATTTCCCAATGAGAAAGAGCCTGATATTTTATTATCCATTAATACGGCAGTCTTTTCTAATTAACATCACCAGCTAAATTCACATTCTTCTGTCACAGACTTTAAGCTATAAACGGGATTTTATGCATATGAGAGGTATCAAAATCCCTAAGTCTGACAGTAGAAAGAGATGAAAAGAAAACATCATAAATGTCATCTATCTACCTTTGGTCACTGGTGCCATACAGAAAGTGATATTGAGATCAAGCCCAGCCACACTCTCAGCAGGACCTACACTTGTTAGGTCCATGTGCAGAAGCCAAAAATACGAATGTCCCAGTTGTGCAAGCCCTAATTCATGTGACTCATATAGACTTCCCTGAGTTGTCCTAATGACACCAAAACAGTAAAGATGATTCATGCAAGTAAAAAATGGGAATACACAACTTCTTTTCTAAAAATGTCTTGTCTGCATACATATAGATATATGCTCATATGTATACTATTTTTATCTTTATATTATTTTTATCCACCAATGTTTTACACAATTTATGTAAGTGGCAGATCTGTCTTGAATATAATATTTAATGCAATGCATACATACAGAACAAGTGAATGAAGAGGAAAAAATGTTAAAAGATAAAGGAAAGAGAGAAAAGGAGCGGCAGAGGAAAATTAGAGAGGGGATAAAGACATTAAGATATATCCATATATATCTATATGATGTAGTAATTACAGAAACAGTCCCATTGATTTTGAAAGGCTTCATCTGTAGGTTTATAAAAATTAAAATATGCTTCGTTTGAGTGGGGTTTTTTTTAATCAGTACAAACAGGTTTATTATCATAAAGGAGAATGTGTATCGTTATGTAGTACATTACTCTCTATCAGTAAGAATATCAACACATGTTGTGCAAAAGGATACTTAGGAACTACAAGATATACTTAAACTCAAGACTGTCTTGATGCAGTACAAAGAAAAGAGCAGAAATAAACTGAGTCTTCTGCTATCATTACCAGGCAACATACAAGCCTTGTATATTTATTAGTGTGTTTATGTGAAGTCTGTACAGATGTGAATGATAAATAAATATATGTGGCTACAAAAAATAAGTGCTTTGCATACTGTGATAGCAGCAGTGTGGTTATAGTGCCAGGAGTACTATACAATAGTCTCATCTAAGTGCAAAATATCTGCTCTCTTGCAGGTGTAATTGAACGATTTTGATTGCTGTGTTAAAAGTAAGAACATGGTATCTTGTACCAACAAACAGATCCCTAACACATGACACAATTAATATGATACATTTAAATGGAATGCAATATGCATCAATCAGCAGCTAAGCCTTATAGCTCAGATCAAGACACAATTACTACTTATACTTATACTTAAATAGTTTATTAAAAAACAGTCTTCAATATTTGCAGTGAAATATTTCAACACTGGAAGCAAGGAATGCAATACCACCTGCTCAGATTTTCAATGAAAAATTAATGCTACCATTTCATACAACACAAACCTGCACCTGAAATTCTCTGTATTTTGCTGTGTAAACATATCAGGGCCTTTTTGCCATATCAGAGAATTAAAATTAATCATATTACTGAGATTCTATCAAACAGGCATCGCATAAACCTTCAGCATTTTATGCTAAGAATACTACATGCTTCTATATTATTATATTGGTGATAGGGACTTCTGAATGTTTTAGTAAAAGCACATGCTAAAATATTTATTAATGCAGAAAAAACAGATTACTGAAGGAAAAGTGATTGTAAAATAATGAGTTGTTGAAGAAATCATACACTCTATAGCCCTGAATATGCACATTTTTCACACAACAACTGGGAAATCCTGCTTCCTCAGACCAACTTTTTCACTAAGAGAAAAAAGAGACTGAAAATAATGGGGAGAAAGTAAGTAGCTAAGCACATAATATCAGCAAACCTCCAGTTCTTCAATTATTCATATCCTTTCTTTCCTTTATTCTCCTCTCCCGCGTTTTTTTAATTCCTATTTTTAGTATTCTTAATATATAATATCTTTTACATTAAGAGCATTTGCGTCACTTCTCTTTGTTCTTCCCCATTTGTAATTTTTAGTAAGAAATGAAACACTGCTGTCAAGTTTTAAAAAAGAATAGAAAAATTGTGTTCTCCTTCACCTGTTACATCATTACTTTTTGCTAAGCACTCTCCCTGCATCAACCTGTTGTGTGCTGCCTTCTAAACAAACTAAGCCTCGCCTGTACTTTGATTCCATTTCAAAGGGGAAACACTACTATGAAGGATGCACAGTCGCTATAGATTGTTACTGCAATATTTCAATGGAATAACAATGAGAAAAAAGACAGACAACAACAAGTAGATTGTGCAGAACATGGAAATGTTGATGACTAACATAGTATTCTGAATTACTTTATCATAGGTATAGTTATAATTAAAGTTATATGTTTCACTGTTGTCAATTTCTATTGTCATGACTGCCAATAAAGGTAAATTCGGAAGGAAATTAGCAAAATTAGATGGGAGACAAAACCAGTTTTAAAGGAATATCACATTCTTATGTAAAAAGCGATCTGGACTTCTATTTGAAATTATATATATTCCTTTTGTATTATATCCTTTTAATTTCACTGAGTTCCATTTTTCTTTCTCATTTAAACCGAGAAAAATCCACATAGAAGATAAATTGTAATTAGTTGTGTATGACAACCTTATCAGCTCAGTGAGAAACCATAAATATCAGAGCTCATAAAACTGTAAATACGGGAGCTCAAACACAAGAAAACAATGAGTTAAAAAGCCCTGGGTTTGTATTTTGCTACACTTGCTTCTACATGGCACATCTTTATAAACTGCAACAGAAGAATGTTTGAAAAGGTAATTTTTCCTACAATGAAAGGCTGCATTTATTCAACTTAGAAGATACTAAGTGGTTATTCTACACTTATCTTTGTATTCCTTTCATTTAACAGTGCGAGCATCCCTTTGAGTCTTTCATAATGAAACCGATACTCAGAACTGAATCCAATTATAACAACCTACCAGCAGTACTAATTGGTGAAAATGCATTGCTGGTAATTACTGCAACCATCCTTCTGCCCAGGATGAACGACACCAATAAATTCTACCCAGTGCTAAACAGTAAGGAAAGACTACCATTAGCACTGTTTTTCTTATGTAAAATGCATTAAAGTGAGTCATCCACTTAAAAGTTACCTACTGGTAGCTTTAACCCAGATTCGGGGACTAAGGTAATGCTTCAAAAAAAACCCAACCAAACAAAAACAATATAAAAATAATGAGGTGAGAGAGAAGAAAAAGGAAGAAAACACGATCACATAGTGCTTTGCCGTGGATTTTTTTTTCCCTATCTGTAGGCGAATCTTTAATACGATGTATTGGCTTCCTTTTGCCTTTCTTTTATTGCATCATTATTATTTGATCTTTGCACTGCTCTGGGCAACACTTTCATGCTAATAATTCTGCAGCGCTTTGAAGATTTCTATCTCAGGGCCAGGCAAGGCGGCGATCTGCGTGCACCGCGAGCATCCTTCAGCTCTCGCGAAGGTATTTCTGAGAAGTACAGATCCGCAAGGCCATGGCTGAAGAAAACAGCTCTTCAGCTGTGTGGCTTTAGGCGAGCCAAAGCCCTCCGGCGGGACCAGGCGAGCCCCGAGCGCAGCCCCAGCCCCGCGGGTGCGCTGGAGCCCGGCCAGGCAGCAGGGAGCCGGCTTCGGGCTCGGAGCTCCCGGCCGTGCCCGCCCGCCCCGCTTCCCATGCCGGCCGCGGAAAGGAAACGAAATCCGCCTTCCGCGTGGATTTTAATAAAATTGCGAAAGTTTTCAGGTTTTTTTATAAACAGTGCTGGAGCTCTATCCGGGCTGGAATAACCTCTGTGGGAGGAAGGGGCGGACTCTGTGTAACTCGAAACTTTCTTCTCGACAAGGATGACCTGACGGGGTATATTTGGGAGCCGCTCCGGAGCGGGATTCCCAGGCGAAGCCTTTTACCTCAAAAGTCCCGCCGCCGGCCGTCACCGGAGCTTCCCCCTGCCGGCGACCGCCCCGGCGGGACTGTCAGCTACCCTGACTCTTTCCTAAGCAAAAGCTGCCCAAAACCTACAATTTTCCCCGATCGTCACTTTCCGCCCGCTCTAACTTGATTTCCCTTTGTATTGTCGCCGTCCCTGGCGCCGAGGAGCGCCCCCGCCCCGGCCGTGCCCCCGCCCCGGACCCCCGGGACCCCGCTGGGACTTACGTGGTGGCCGAGGGGAAGGGTCCCTCCGAGGAGTGATTCATCACCAGGGACTGGAAAAGTGTCAGGCTAAAGACCAGCAGCCAGCCAGCAGCCATCTTCCTGATCGAAGATCGATCCCCCTTCCCCAAGTCGGCGAGACGGCAATAATAATAAATTCAATTATCGTGTGTGGCGGTGCGGGGGGGGCCGTGGTTCTTTAAAGCCTCCTCCGCTCCCCCCACCCGCCCCCTCGCAGGAGGCGCAGCCCAGAGATGCGCGGAAAAGCGGGAGCGCGGCCGAGGGTGGGGAGGAGGAGGAGGAGAAACGATGGAGATCTGTGGGTGGAGTGGGGGAAGAGGCGAAACAGAGGAAAGAGAGAGAGCGAGAGATACTCCACTCTCTGCTACTCCAGCAGCAGCTCCAGCTCCATCTGATCCGCCGCCATCAGCGCTACTTTTGTAACAGATCCCACTCTGCGCGTGTGTGCGCGCGTCCTTCCCTGATTTATTCCACTGATTGCAGAGCAGAAAGAGGAGGAGAGAGGCAGGCGGGGTGGCGGCTCCTGAAAGAAGAGGAGGGAAGCAGGGGATAGAGTTGGAGACGGGCGGATCGCCGCGGGCTCCTGCCTTCCCTGGCGGCAGCGGGGAAAGTCGGGGGAGCAGCGGGGGCGGGCGCGGGCCCTGCGGCGGCCGCGCTCCATACAAGGCGCCCGGCAACTCGCGGCCGGGCCGGGCCGGGGCCGCGCTGCCGCCGCCCCGCCCCGCCCCGCGCAGCCCGCACGCTATTTTTAAAACCGCTTCGTGCCTTTTTTTAATTCCAGCCCCCTCCTCCCTTCTCGGCGGCGGCAGCAGCAGCAGCAGCCGCGCACGGCCCGTGTGCCACCCAGTCTGGGCTGCGATTTAAATAGATATTCCATGGATGCGTCTGTAAATGCCGCGCTCCCCGCGGCCGGCTGGAGCAGCGCCGCTCAGCCCCGCGGAGCCGCCCCCGCCCTGCGCAGCGTCCCGGACCCGCAGCCCCTCCGGGAGCCCTGGGGCTTCACCCCCGCCCCGCCGCATCCTAACCCAAAGACTCATTTCACATCCCTCTGGAAATTCGGAGGGCGCATTCCCTCTCCCCTCCTTTCGTTTGCCCGTGTTCACGCGCACCAGTCTCTGTGGCAACTATATGCTCTCAGTATAAATGTAGAAAGTAATCCAGGGAAATATTTCTTAGCTCATTTAATAAAGCAGTTAAAAGTTCAGTAACAAATTTTATTTTCTTTTCGATTTTTTGGGTTGGTTTTGTTGTTTTTTTGGTTTTGGGTTGGTTTTTTTTCTGTATATGCATATATATTTATATTTTAATATATTTACTTAGTTCAACAGGTGAAAATGAAAGAGCAGACACAGTAGTCATTTTGTTTTCACGTTCTTTGTATTTAAGGATCACGTCTTGAATATATTAACTCACAACAATTTCTATAAAACAGGAGAGTGCTCATCTCTATTTTAAAGGTGGCAAAGGGATCAAAACTGAGATGCACAAATGAAGAATTGAGTGCTCACATTGCCTGGGCTCAAAGCCAGCACGATATTTCAGTTGCAATCTGTAAAGCATGCAGTCACTCATCTACATTGTTTCTGGATTGGAGCTGGCACTTGGGAGCTGGTGGGAAGAGCTCCTAGTTGTCTTCACCTATCCACCTACCTCTAGGTACGTAGGATTCAGGGTTTGGATGCAAGTCTGAAATAGCACTTTCTAAAATGATTCTTCAGCCTTAAGACTCAAGCAGTCTGAAGAGTATCTGTAGCTTTTGTAGGTTTCCATAGGCCTGACTGTTTTGCCACATGAAGTATACTTGGATACCCACCTGTAACTGCTCACCTGAGTACCTCTGCTTCCCCACAGGGATGTCAAGAGTCCAGCACCGTCATGGCCCTGTGGCACAAAAGTCCTGTTTCACATGAGATGTATCTTGAGGAGTTCTAAGGTAGAAAGATGGTGAGGTGTGGATAAAGGTCTTGGAGAAATGCACAGCGGAAAAGGGCTGTAGATGTGAACTAGTATAGGTTGCTTAATAAATTATAGGTTTACTTAATAAATTATAACATAATTTATTTAGATAAAGCTCCTCATTTTTGGGCTCTCACACTAAGGGTAGCATTATCAGTATCAAGTTAACATCAATTCAGTTATGAACATGAATATCGAACAAAAATACTGATTCTGCTCCTTGATAGGACTCTGAAGTTTGGCTTAAGTTCATACCTAAATTCTGCTGAGTTACCAGGAACCAGATATTCCTCAGTTAGTTGTGTCCCAAAACCCCTGCAGTTTTTCAGCAGGAAACACAGTAAGGGATTAATACTGGGAGCACCCCTCCAGAATAAATGGGAATGCCCCTGGCTCCTTCCCTACCTGAAGGATTGAGCATATGCCCATTTCTTCTCAGTGGGAAAGTGTTCTTGTTAAATTCCCAGCAGTGCTGCCCCCGAGGGCCACAGAGCAAGCTGTGGGTACTGAGCTGAGAAAGAGGTGCTCTCCCAGGGGAGAACCCTTTGGAGTGGGCAAACAGAAAAGTATTGACATGTTGGTGTGGGAAAGAGAGGGTGCAAGTAACTATGCAAACACACACAGGAAATGGTTTCAGTAGGTTAGAATAAGCAAGACCACTCTTACTCACAAGTACCATATCAATATAATGTAAAGAACACCAGAAGATCAGGAAGTGATAATATAAAATAATAAATAGATAAGTAAAGGGTTGCAAAGGAATGTTTCATTCATCATTAGTATCATTTCCTACACTTCTGATGCCTATAGAGCTTCTTAGGGCAATAATTATAGCTGCAAGTAGTTCTAACACCAGTAACACATGGCTAGCAATGGAACTGTGCAATGCATGGGTTGGTTGACACCCCACCTAGTACTGCAAGGTCTGGATTAAACAGTACTAATACACTGAACAACACCTGAAAAGTTAAAAAGATTCTAGAGGAAATGCTACTATGATTTAATAAAGAAGTATTCAAAGCTTCCAATCTACTGGCATATTTATAACTATATAATTTTTTACCCTCTGCAAGTTAATCCTACAAGTGAATGCCTGTGGAGCTCGCTGAAACTCAAGGATGAAAGAGAGAAGTTGTCCATATGTGACTCCAGCATGGAGCAGAAATACACAGGTTAGCTCCAAACAAGCTGATTGAGGTGTGGAGAAGCAGCCAGGGCTGGAAAATGGAGCTTGATAAGAGATATGGTGTTCTGGGAAGGTCTGTGATAGACAAATCAAGATCAACCTGCAAAGTTTTCAGGATTTACAAATCAACTTGAACTGAAGCCCAGTTTTTGAGAAAAGGTGGAATCAAATAACAATTTTCCTGTAAAATTAAGGCTGGAAGTCAGGTTATGAAGTTTTGCCTTTTTTTGAATCTGAAACTCAGGAATCCAATGCCAGCCTGAAGCATGGGGAAGAGCAAGCAGGACTTACTCCATGAGCAATTTGTTATTTACTAATCACCCAGTCTTTGATTCACCTAATTATTTATGGCTTATTTAATTTTCCAGGTATTTAGTAAAGATGAAGAATGTTTAGAAATGTTCACCTCATCCTACAGCTGTGTATAGACATGAGTAATAGGTCTCAAATGAGTTCCCACTACCTTCAATGAGAAAGTATATTTGACTTAAAACATAAAATAAGCAGATTTAAGTTTCTTGGTGTGTCTTCACCTTCCCATAATGCAGAAAAAAAGAAGCACAAATGTAGGTCCATCATGAAGTTTTAAAAAGCCGTTAAAGTCTCCTAAACAATCAATTTCCTTACATTTGCTGATTAAAGTATTTTCATGTAAAGTCACTGTTTTAAATACAGGGCTTGTACTTCACAGTAATATTGCACTGCAGAAATTCTTATAATTTATCTGTGTTGAGATTCCTAAAGATCTATTACAGCTGACAAGTCTTTTTCTTTAAGCACTTGAATGACAAACAACAAAAGTAAATCTTTCTTCATTCTTACCTTACTTCATTCTAAATTGATTGCCTGCCACATCTGACCGAGACCTTTCTGTGAAGGAGCACAGGCGTGACAGGTATTGATATAATGAGGCATCTTACAGAAAGTTTGCTGTGTAGCTATTTGGTGGGCTTGGCAGGGTTAGGCTTATGGTTGAACTCTTACCCTAAAGATCCTTTCCAACCTAAAAGATTCTGTGATCTATTCTATGATTCTACTGAAAGTACTTGAAATCTTTCAACTGACCATAGTAGTCCATATGTCACAAAAAAACTCCTATTGCAAAACTACAAAATTTAATTTTCATCAAAGGCTTCTTCTCACTTCATTTAATCCATAGCAAGTATTAATTCATGATCAAGCTTTTCTCTTTTATTTCAATTTCTGGATATATTATTCATGTTTTTATGTATTATTTACATCATAGCAAATCTAGCATAAAAGACAAAAGAGGAGAGCCCTCTGTCTCTTAACCACTTTAAAAAAATCCAAATTCATTATGTTAGCACCAGAATCAAAGTTTTATTAGTCTGGTTATTCTTCAGTAATCAGCATTTTCAGAAAAATCTTTGAAGCCAGTGACAGGTTAAGACCCTATGTGCAGTGATTGAAGCACTTGTGTGACTAAACGGGACACAGTTACCAAGTGCCTCAAGTGTCTTTTGTGGGAGTGTTGTAGGCAATAAATTGGTAAATTTATTCTTGCCAGCCCTGATCAGCATTTTGCTAAGTACATTCCACCTTTGTGCTTGGTGTAATACATACTTGGCTGGATGGAACCCCCAAATGTTACTGAGATCAGCCAAAATGCACTTGCTGAAATATGGCAAAAAGTGTGTGCATGACCCTGGAGAAAGGTGTAAGGCACAATTCTGATGAGGAGTGTTTGAGGGAGCTGGGGATGTTAAGCCTGAAGAAAAGGAGGTTCAGGTGGGACCTTATCACTCTCTACAAGCACCTGAAAAGAAGTAGTAGAAAGGTGGGGGTCCATCTCTTCTCACAAGTAACAATAGGACAAGTGGAAATGGCCTCAAGTTGCACCAGGGAAGATTACGATGGGATATTAGAAGAGGTTTCCTCATGGGAAGGGTTGTCAAGCACTGGAACAGGCTGCCCAGTGAAGTGGTTGAGTCACCATACCTGGAGGTATTTAAAAGATGTGTAGATGTGGCACTTAGGGACATGGTTTAGTGGTGGATTTGGCAGTGCTGGGTTTGCAGTTGAACGATATAATCTTAAAAGTCTTTTCCAACCTAAATGATTCTGTGGTTCTGTAGTTCTATGATAATCAATGCCACATACTATTTTCATCCTAGCATAAAATATCTTCTTTATATCTGTATTTTACATAGGGAAGGAGGGAGTAATCTTGTTGAATAGCTTTCATTCTGTTTGCTGGTGTGAACTAGAGAGTGCAGACAGCCTAATCTCAATTTCTAATTTCAGGGGTGAAAATGCTGTTATTGAAGTCTGCACCAAATAGAAATGAGGGATCCAGCCTGTTGCAAGTGAGATGAATTGTTTTACATATTTTAATTTGATAAAA